AAAATAAATCAAATCGGTCAAAAATTGATTTTAATATTAATATTTATAGCGTGCGATTTTTATGCATCACGTAGCATCCAATAGTACAGGTCCGCCCATAGAAGCTTTGCCCGGAGCTCATCTCCAAAAGAGGCCCAAGTGCCCCCAATTGTCATATATATATATATATATATATATATATATATATATATATATATATATATATATTTATTTATTTATTTATTTTTAACTAATTTATTAATTATGTATTTATTTGTGTTTCTAGGGTGTTTAATATTTATTGTTTTTGGTGCTTTTATTGTAAGATATGAAATTTGTGTATGTACATGGTATATTATATTTATTTATTTTAAAAAATGGTGTATTTTATAATAGTAAACAAATGTACTCTTTAAGTTTTTTCTATTTGATCTATATTTTTATTATTTATTCAAATTAAATAATTTTTTAATTTAAAATATTTATTATTTTCAAAATACACAAAAAATATCACATAACACAAAATAAGCTATTTAAGTGGTTTTATTTAATAAATTTTTGACACACATTAACATTAATATTATCATAAAATGCAATATATGCATGTGTGCTCACATAATATATATAATACATTCTATCAATGGACAAAAAAAATCAATAATTTAATAATATTATTTTTTATATTATTAATATGGTTATTGTATTTAGTATAAAAAATATATTTCAAACTAAAAATATTAATAAACATACTTTTTTTATTTTAATCTTTTGATATATAAAAAATAATTTTATTATTAAATTTAAATTTAAATTTTTACAATAAAAAATATATACTTAAGGGCTCTTTCTTTTTTCTTTTTGATTTTGCCCCGAACTCTATAATAGTCAGAAACGAACATGTCAGCGAATATGATATTCATATTATTCCAATTGAAAAAGAACGTCCTGTTAAAGAAATGTTTCAACAAGTTCTTAAAAAAACAGCAGATAAACTTTTAAGACAATTAAAAAATATGTTAATGAATCCTCTAATAGATCTGAATGCACTAGATAAAATGATTTCAAGAGCTTATTATGATGCTCTCAAAATACTTGAGAATTCGCAATGCCAACAGCCTTTGCCAAACCATATTGTAAAGAAGTACCCCCTTGCCCCTTCCCCAAAATGCAAGGAGATCGGAAAGCATTCAATCATATCGTAAATTAAATTTCTTTCAATTTATTGATATGAGATATTTTTTTCAAAAAGAGTTGTCTCTATTCTCTAAATTTCACCACAGAAAATATATTCCAAAAGATACTTTTACTAGTCATTAGGGACTTGACAACAACAATGTTCCTTCCCAAAGTCTACCAACAGAAAAACTTTAAGAGCATCGGTAAAAGAAGCCGCGTGAGTTTTTTCCCAATGTTTGTCTTTCAAAACCTTTAGAAAGTCAAAGAAATTGAGGGCAAAAGTGCTCTATGATCTTCTAGAGAAAAAAAAGATGATTAACAGATAATAAAAAATGAACAAACAGACCGATTTTTAACGAAATAATGTAAGAAGACAATCTGAATTTTAGATGATAAAATTTCTTTTGCAAAAAAAAATATGCAAATAAATTCATTAAAAAAAGGTAGGGTAGGAAATTGAACCCAAGTCAATTGGATATTTACTTAAATTTTCATTGTTATTTTACATTAAACTTGTTAAATTGAAAACACATATACACATATAACACAATATATTAAAATTCTTGTCGTCACGTTAAGTGTTAAAAGAAGACAAACGGAACACGATTTGAGTGTAGAGATGAAGAAGTGGAAGATTTGTGTTTTTAGAACCACTCGACTTGAGTTGTGCAATGGGCAATGGCTTCTACAGCTGCCACGCGCCCCCCCAGAACATATATTCCTCTGGCCGCCCGCCACCTTCCGTCTCACATTGGGCATTGGTTGTAATGGTGGGTTCGCCCTCGTAATTTGTGGATGTGCCTTATGTTGAAAGTCTCCTGGCGGTGTTGGGTCGGTCCCGATTGAGGTGGTCAGGCAGCGAATACCTTATAGGCGGTACAAAGTGGGCAGGGAATGTCCATTGGTTGGTCTTGGTTTGAGGGGAGGATTGTTGGGTGCAAACTCAAGTCCCATATTAGAAGTTGCGAAGAAAAATTTGACACCTTATAAGTCCCAAGTGAACTCCACTAGTATACTAGTATGAAGCCTTTTGGAGAATATCCAAAAACAAATCCGTGCGGGCTCAGCCCAAAGCGGACAATATCATACTGGTGTTGAGTTGGTCCAGTCCCAACAAATACCCAATATTATACTTTCAAACGTATTATAATTATTATAAATTAAATAGTTAAAACTTAATTGATACTCCCTCCGCTCCAAACACTCTACAATTTTTTTTTTTTTATTTGTCTCATACTCACTGCAATATTTTCAAATTTAAAAATATTTAATAATATTTATATACATATATTAATATACACTTCACTTTATCCCATCACATCACTCAAATAAAAAAATAAATAATCATTTCTCTCTCCAATTACATTACTTAATATCCACCTAAATTCACGTGCCAAACACAAATGATACATGGTATTTGGGACGGAGGGAAGATTAAATTTAAATTCAAATTATTAATCTATAAATAGAAATGGCAGGAGCTGATAAAATCAAAATTAATTCATTGAATTAGTAATTTGAAGTTAAGAAAATGTCTGATAAATAAGAATGATTAAGGGAATAATTAATTAAATTATTATTTATTATCTCACATTGGAAGTTAAACACAAAGGTGAAGGTGTTTATATACAAGGTGCAACTCTGGTTTTTACACTGTTGATTTAATTCAATTAATATATATATATAACAATATATAATAAATAATAATATACGATAATACAATATACAATAAATATTTCTACATCATGTTATAGTATAATATATAGTATATTATATTATTAATCTTCAGCATAATAAATATATGCATTGAAAACACAGAGTATAATATATAAATTGTCATAGCATATGCTTCCACGCGTGCCTTGCAATTAAACTGTTGATTGTTCCCGGTGGATCTCGAAACCGTGACATAAAAGTATAACTAGATAATAAGTATGCCCAGCGTACACGGGCCAATGGATCCACACCGCCCTCTCTTTATTCTCATGCTAATATTCTAGCAATTATTATTACTACTACTACTTTTGTCGTACAGTAAAACTATCTCAGTAATTATGTATACCACTGTGGTACAATTTACCACGTTTTTCAAACCCTAAATCTTGACTACAATGCCGTCCATTTTATACTGCATGCTTTAATTCAATTAATCAATTCCTTTAGTAACAATTAAACTTAAAAATTAGAAATGAATGAATTAATGCCGTCAATTAATTAGCTTGAATATTTTGTATTGGCTAGATAGGGGTTGGGGTCAGGTAGAGGTAGGGTAGGATAGATTAGGGATTGGTTCCCACATCCAGCATAACATACAAACGTACATACATATTAATGCGTGTCAACGATATATACACACATACATACATACATACATGAATATATATATATATATTCCCCTGAAAATGACCATGTGTATGTATATGTCAACTCTCGAATTTCAACATGCACAACAACACAAGCTGCGGGAAGACAGATATATAGATCATGTCCATGTAGTAATAATACACCTAATTAAGTATACATAATTGTGGGGGCATGGATCCCATGCTGATCCGCGCCCTAATTGTGGGCATATGTTGTACCGTGCATGCAAGGCAGGGCAGGGTGGGGGGGTGGGGTTATAACTTATATGCATATATATACTAGTATTAATTAGCGATCGAATACATCTTCTTTCTTTCTAAGTGTGCAGCAGTGTAGTGTAGTGTAGTGTAGTTTGATTAATTAATTGTGCCGATTAGGCACCAAGAAGGCAGCAGCAGCAATCCATTCAACACTATAATTTACTACTCGCACACGTCCACTAGCACCCACTACATTCTCTACCTCTCTCATTTAGTCTCATCGCAATTCTCCTCAATCAACTTTTCATTTCTTTCCTAGCTCCTTCTCTTTAACAACAACAAGAAGACAAACAACATGCATGAACTTCCAGCTTAAAATATATATATATATATATATATATATCTCTCTCTTTAAGAATTTTTAAGTAATGCACACACATATAAATATATATATATATTATTTCATGTTCCCTAAGTCATTTTTTCCTTATTCTGCAGCTGATCTACAACTAAACAATAATGAGGCTTTATTTAATTTCATATAATACTGTTCTGAAGGCTGGAAGCTACATATGGCGGCTCCAAAATTCAACATGATTCGGATACTTAAAAGATTGAAATATAATATATAGATGACAACCAAAAAGAAGACATTTAACAAATAATTCATGTAAAGATACCGTGGCATCAATTATATGTGCACCTCTCTTTACACACACACATACATATATATATATATAATATGTCCTTGTTCACTGATAATTAATAGATCAAAAGGCACAATAATCCTCCTGTAAGAAATGAAGGAAGCTGCCAAGAACATATCTATGTATGCATAGCTAATTCCAAGGAATTGGTGATATGTATATATATATATATATGTATGTATATATGTATTCAAACCCTGTTTATTGCATCAGAAATGGAGTTTCTGCACTCCAATGCATAGCTATTTTTTACACCAAAAATGGTGTTTGCTACGTTGCAACACTGTAGCAATCCCATTTTACAACGTTATATTGTTTGTTTTTTTTAAAAATATATATATATTTGCATGCTAATTCTTTTATTTATTTTTAATTTTGAATTTTTTTAAAAAAATAATATTAATTGTAAATATAAAAATTTAATTTAAAATAATTTATAAAATAGAATATTTTAAGAATATTTTTTTTGAAGTAAAAAATAGAATTGTTGATTAGAGTAAAAATACTGTAACAATTCAATTTTTGAGGTTAAAATTGTATAAATAGAATGCGTGGGTTGGAGATGGCCTATGCGTTACCTATTTTCTTTTCTTTCACCCCAACCACCCAAGTTAACTTTTTTTCTTTTACCACCCAAGTTAAATTAAATCCCGTAGAAACATGAAAATCAGAAGAAGACCATTCATAGACAAAAAAAAAAAAAAAAAAGTGTGAAAATTACTGATCATCAGGGATGGCAGTAGCTCTCCACGTACAATTAATTCTATGAATCCATCGACGATCATATATTTGTTGGTGTTGATTATTGAACTATGGCGGTTGATCAATTTAATTTTATTAAGTCAGACGGTGGTGTTGAATTGATGTTGTAAGAACCACATGTCATCAACATTCCACAGATTTTCGGAATCATGATCTCCAGTACCGTCGTCGTCTATCCACTGGTTGGTGTGCTCCATATTGAAATGATGATCCTGCAGCCCTTGGTTGAAATAGGCTGCTGCTGCAGTATCGGATACTGCAGATTGGTCGCCGCCCGCGTAGGGAATTAGTACTTGATTGCAGCAGCTGGCCGCGGGGCAATAATCTTGATGATTGAGCACTGTGGGGTAATTGTTGTAGCACTCTGAGACCTGCTGCGTCCCAAATGAATCTGACGAATTTTCCGGCGTAGTAGCGGCGGCGGCGGTGGTGGTGTAGGGGGCGAAATTAGGGTGCGGGTGGGGGTGGGGCTGGGGCTGGGACATGATCTGATCGGGAGCAGTACTGATCGTGGTGTGGAGATTGTAAGAGGCGGAGGGGGAGGAGGACGAGGACGAGGACGAGGATGAGTTGGAAGAGGACGATGCAGCGGCAGCAGCTTGGATTCTTTCGACCAATCTGGGCATCCAGAGATAACGCATGGTATCCTTGAATTGCTTGCTGTTCACGTCACATTTGAGCTGCTTGGCATGTTTCTGGACTCGTGTTCTCCAGTAGTTCTTGATTTCATTGTCGGTTCTGCCGGGCAGGTGCTGCGCAATTTTGGACCACCTGCGTGCCATGCGCAAGCAAGCAAATTGATTAATCAATCCAGTAATATTAATTGAATCATTCATCTTACACAATCCACATATAATTGATTATATATATATATATATATATATACACCTGTTGCCCCAACGAGAATGGAGCTCGAGAATCAAAAGCTGTTCTTCCAGAGTGATGTTCCCCCGGCGGACGTCGGGTCGCAGATAGTTAAGCCACCTCAATCTGCAGCTCTTTCCAGTTCTCTTGAGGCCTGCCGGCAGGCATGCACCCATATCATTCCATATGTACATATATATATATATATATATTATTGAATATTGATTCATAATCCATCATTAATCCAGATGACTGAATTAAGAAAGAAATTAAACAAGATTGGTAAAGTTAATAATTAGTCCCATAACATATACATATGGCATGGAATATAAATTCCAAATTCCTATAAATTAATTAAACCCCCGTGTAATTGATTACTTTATATTAACGGCGCGCTGATTCATGAACTTGCCCAGGCTCTACTTTTTGCTTTAGCCCCTCAATACTCGACTTTGATCGCTAATTAAGGGACGTTCTGCTCAAGTCTTATCCATGTAATAAATTCAATCACGAAAGAATATATAGACGCCACGCCATGCCATGATGATCTCCGCTAGATGTATGTATGTATGTATGTATTGTGGTAGGTAGCTATATCGATAAATGATGGCAGTGGAAGTGGTACCTGCGCAGCGAGCGAGGGAATTCCAGCGACCTTCTCCGTGATGAGCTATGTAATTGACGAGGGTGAAATCTTCTTCCACCGTCCAGGGCCCTCTTCTTAGGTCCATTTCGTCCTCCTCGCTCTGCACCTGCACCTGCTGCTGCTGCTGCTGGTTGTAGTTGCAGCTTGCAGTAGCCTTACTACCACCACCACCACCCTGTGCCTCCATCACTAACTACTTAATTAAATTTCTCAGAGGATGGGTGGATAGAGTCGGTCAGTCTTCTTACAAAAACAGACCTGCTAGCAAGCTCCCTAAACGAATGAAACAACAAGCAACCTAATAAGATTAAGGTGATGGGTGGATTCAGGATTGGATTGAGATTTGATTTGATTTGCTGGATGGAGGGAAGGATGGATGCAGCAGCGACACCAATTCAATTGAGAAAGATAGCAGAGGGACAGACAGGCAGACAGTCTGATTGGAAGATGATCGACGACCGAGTTTAATTTAATCGATGATGAACGGAATAAGTTAGGAAATAGGCGCAGTTGAAGAAGAAGACCAAGACGAAGACGACAGATAAGATGGATGGATGGATGGATGGATGGATGGAGGAAATAAAGGTGGGGGAAGGGGGAATTTATATAGACACTAACTAATACTGATCTCTTTATGCTCTCTCTCTGGTCTCTGCTGCTGGATGGGATTAACAGAATTTAATTAAGATTATTCATTCATTACGGGCATGCGCATGTGACCCTGTGAGGGACACGGAGAGGAACTTAACGTAATTTAATTTTACTTTATTTTATTATGTTAGGGAAGCCAAGCCGCAATTGGGGATATGGGAGTATCATATCATTCATATCAAGATCAATATCTACATCTATATCTATGTCAATATCATATATCCTCTATATAATGTAAAGTAAGAAGAAGAAGAAAGAAGAAGAGGGCCCTTAGCTTGCTATTTTAATTAATGCTATTTATTAATTACTTGATTAATTATTTAAGCAAGTAAGCACGCACTTGAGAGCACCTCCTTCTTAAATACTACTACTTCTTAAACCACCCCCCCCCCCCCCTCTCTATTATTTCTTTCTTTCTTCTTAATTTTATTAATATTCCATGTATCACAAACATTATAATTACTGCTGAGTGGGGAGCTTGGAAGTTTGACACTTTAGACTTTTCTTATGTCCCTCGCCTCTTCTCTTCTGTGGAAATTTGAAACTTTTTTTTATGTTCTGTCAGTTAATGGATTTTGAAAATGGAAAAATAAAAAAATTGAATATTTAACGTGAATCTTGTTAATATATATATTTATATATTTGAAAAAAAAAAAAAAACAATTACTGTTGATATGAATATTGTCAAAAATTCCGATGCTGTCTATGTCATATCATTTTGCTCGTTTGTCACATCAACTTGTCCTGAAATATTTGACTAAATCTGGCTTGTATTCGTCGTTGTTGCCGCATTCCCACATTGAATTGTGAATTGTTATTCATATCATACTGGTGCACTCCCAAAATCCCCTATTTATATATATACTAGAACACGCTCTTGCGCGGTATACCGCGCGACTATTCTATATTGTAATGTAGTGAAACATTATTTATTTGAAATATAAACTGTAAAACAAAAATACAATCGAATTATTTGCGCTCAAGTCGGTTGGTCAGGTCGGTTGGTCCTCGGTCGGTTGGTCTGGTCGGTTGGTCAGGTGGGTTGGTTAGCTGTCGGATAGGCAGGTCGGAAGGCCCTCGGTCGGTTGGTCTGGTCGGTTGGTTAGCGGTGGGATAGACAGGTCGGAAGGTCCTCGATCGGTTGGTCTGGTCGGATGGTTAGTAGTCGGACAGACAGGTCTGATGTTCAGCAGGTCAGACAGACAGGTCTGATGGTCTGCGGTCGGATAAAGTAGGTCAGCTAGTCTGCGGTCGGATAGGCAAGTCAGTTGGTCCGCAGGCGGATAGATTGAGATAAGAAGGGTGACCCTGCATCTCTTTATGAGTTTTGAAATGTTAAAAATAGCAAGGATATTTCAACTTTGATAATTGTTACGCACAAATAATAATAATAATAAAAATAAGGATAGCAGGATCTTAAAGGAAGTTAGATACAAAGTCTGGTGGAAATGGAGAAAAATTTGCGCTCAGGTCGGTTGGTCAGGTCGGTTGGTCGGATGGTCAGGTGGGTTGGTTAGCGGTCGGATAGGCAGGTCGGAAGGTCCTCGGTCGGTTGGTCTAGTCGGTTGGTTAGCGGTGGGATAGGCAGGTCGGAAGGTCCTCGGTCGGTTGGTCCTCGGTCGGATGGTTAGCGGTCGGACAGACAGGTCTGATGATCTGCGGTCGGATAAAGTAGGTCGGCTGGTCTGCGGTCGGATAAAGTAGGTCGGCTAGTCCGCAGACGGATAGATTGAGATAAGAAGGGTGACCCTGCATCTCTTTATGAGTTTTGAAATGTCAACAATAGCAAGGATATTTTAACTCTGATAATTGTTACGCACAAAAAATAATAATAAAAATAAAAATAAGGATAGCAAGATCTTAAAGGAAGTTAGACATGAAGTCGGGTGAAAAAGGAGAAAAATTTGTGCTTAAGTCGGTTGGTCAGGTGGGTTGGTCGGATGGTCAGGTAGGTTGGTTAGCGGTCGGATAGGCAGGTCGGAAGGTCCTCGGTCGGATGATCAGGTCGGTTGGTTAGCGGTGGGATAGGCGGGTCGGAAGGTCCTTGGTCGGTTGGTCCTCGGTCGGATGGTTAGCGGTCGGACAAACAGGTCTCATGGTCTGCGGTCGGATAAAGTAGGTCGGCTGGTCTGCGATCGGATAGGCAAGTCAGCTGGTCCGCAGGCAGATAGACTGAGATAAGAAGGGTGACCCTGCATCTCTTTGAGTTTTGAAATGTCAAAAATAGCAAGGATATTTCAACTTTGATAATTGTTACGCACAAAAAATAATAATAATAATAAAAATAAGGATAGCAGGATCTTAAAGGAAGTTAGACACGAAGTCGGGTGGTGGAAAAGGAGAAAAATTTGCGCTCAGGTCGGTTGGTCGGATGGTCAGGTAGGTTGGTTAGCGGTCGGATAGGCAGGTTGGAAGGTCCTCGGTCGGTTGGTCTGGTCGGTTGGTCCTCGGTCGGATGATCAAGTCGGTTGGTTAGCGGTCGGATAGGCAAGTCGGAAGGTCCTCGGTCGGTTGATCTGGTCGGTTGGTCCTCGGTCGGATGGTTAGCGTTCGGACAGACAGGTCTGATGGGTCAGAAGGTCGGACAGACATTTCTGATGGTCTGCGGTCTGATAAAGTAGGTCGGTTGGTCTGCGGTCGCATAGGCAAGTCAGCTGGTCCACAGGCGGATAGACAGGTCGCTTGGTGGGTGCGGCCAAGGAGTCTTTTGGTCTACCGATTGGTCTCTGGATTGGTCGGTTGGGCTATTTGAGTTCTGGAACTGGTGGAGGCGTTTGGCGATGCGGTTGATGTAACCGACCAGACGACGTTCCAAAACGTTTCGTCTTAGGCGGTTGACGGCTGTTGCTGACGACGGTTCTAAAACGTCTTTTCAAGCCAGTACAAAGGTAGGCTAAGGGCTAAATTGTCATTTTTGAAAAAATGAGGGGCAAGATAGACTTTTCAAGTGGCAGATCCGTACAAACTCGTATTTATAAGATATAATATTTATATATATATATATTAAGTGCTCCTCAAAGAGCGTAGTGGAATTTTGTAAATATTAATAACTTTTGTTGATATATACATTGATATATTGTATATATATATATATTCGTACTATCTCTTGTATATATATAATATTGTACTCTAATTATAATTTGTGAAATTCAGTTTATTCCATTAATTCTAACATGGTATCAGAGTTATGATTTTTTCCGAACAAATCGAAACAATCCACATATCTCATATTACACCTTTTTGACCGTCGTCGATCATCACCGCCACCACCACCATGTTCGCCGCCACGAGATTGGCCAAACTCCGGAATAGCTTGGTCAATGGCGGCGTGTGAGCCTCACACACGCATAATGAAATTTCTGGCCGAACGCCTCGCCGGCGCGTGGAGGCGCGTGCGGCGGCAGTTGCCGGAGATTTTTGCACCGTCGTGTTCGGAATTTAATTTCCTCCGCGATGGTATACTCATTTTTTTTTTTCGTTTGAGCAGTTTTCTATATCTGTTTGATTTTTCTGTTTCGGGTTCAATTCGGTTTTGTCTGTGTTTCTGTCATTTCAGCTTTCGGTTTGAGATATTGTCTACACTTGAAATTTTATTTATGAAAAAGATAGATGTTCATATTCCGATAAGTGTTGTCCTATCCAGAGATAGTTACAGTTTGTGGGCACAATCGATGAAAAGCTTCCTGATATGAAGGAAATTATGGTGGATTGTTACAAAGGATATAGTTGCTTCCGTTGTTCCGGTTTCTATAGGACAAGTTGCGCCTACCGCCAAAGTTGTTGAATCTTATATTGAAAAATTGGAGGATTAGGACAGTAAGAACCATCAGATTCTTACTTGATTGCGCAATACTTCAACTCCGGCGATACATGTGCAGCTTGTCCAATTTGAAACTGCCAAGGCAGGGTAGGATTTCTTGGCAGTCCGCTTCCGTGCTACTGGTTTGGCACATTATTATCAATTATGGAGTACTCTCCATGATCTAAAACAGGAACCAGGACAATTTGTCAACGACTTCCTTGCGCAAGTGCAACCCCTTTGGCATCGGTTAGATCAAGCTGAGATCAGTCCTGATCATCTTCGCCTCATTCAGGTCTTGATGGCTTTACGTCCAAAGTATGAGGCAGTCCATGCCTCTTTGCTACATCGACACCCACTTCCTACCTTGGATGCAACTATTAATGAGATTCTTTTTGAAGAAACTCGTCTCCACGTAGCCAAAGCTCTTCTGCTTGATTATGCTCTTGCGATCACTGCCCGAACTCCTACTCATAGTCTTTCCCTCCGCTGCAAACGATGTCAGTATTCTGATCATGACTTCGGTCATTGCCCCAAGGTGAAGTCCCACTACTGTCATGTTTTAGGCCATACTATACAATATTGTCCTACTAGGCCGTCTCGCTCTGGCAACAGTAACTCCAAGCCTTGGCATATTCGTGGACCTCCTCAATTTAGTACCTCCTTTGTCACAACCTCTGCCACGTTTGCGCCTGCGCCTCCTACGATTCAGGATTTGGAGACTCTTCTTAAACAGATTCTATCTTTCAATACAACCATGTCTACCACATCAGGTAACTCTCCTTGGTATTTTGATTCTGCCTACAGTAATCATATGACCTCTGATATACACCTTATGACCTCTACATCCACCGCACCATCCCTACCCCATATCCTTACCGCAAATGGTACCCATATGCGCGTCACCCATATTGGACATACATCCACCTCGTCCTTATCTCTCCCTGACACATATTGTATTCCCCAATTAACCTTAAATCTGATTTCCGTTGGTCAATTAGTTGATCAAGGTTTCACAGTGATCTTCTCTTCTACTGGTGTGCAGGTTCATGATGCGCAAACCGGGCAGACCCTCGGGAAGGGCCGGAAGACGGGTCGCTTATTTGAACTTGAGTCACTCCAGCTCCTTCGTCCCTCTATCTCGGCTGTCACCACATCTACACCATCCTGTCTTCAGTGGCATCATTGTCTCAGTCATGCGTCCTCCAATAAAC